GAGGGTTCACTGGGACCATAATGGGTTGGGTCCTCTGGCCACCGCTCATGAATCTAGGGTTCCTCGTGAATCTAAGGGCATTCACGGCGGGGCGACGCATCTAAGGGTTCACTGGGACCATAATGGGTTGGGTCCTCTGGCAAAAGGACCCGGTGAAGAAGGACCCGGTGAAGAATCTAGGGATCCCAAGCGCGGTGGGCAAGAAAAAAATCCCGCAACTGTTTGCCTTTGAGAGAGCTCGAGACATACAGATCGTTAAAGAAGGCAGGCAGGCAGGCAGGCAGGCAGGCAGGCAGGCAGGCAGGCAGGCAGGCAGCCAGCCAGCCACCCACCCAGCCACGCCAACCGAGAGGCAGGCAAACAGACAGATCTCTGGATTTTGCTGCATTGCTTGCACTGTGAAGATTTCAATAATTTAGTAGCTTTTACTGATATCGCTTACGTGTTCTCATAATCTCTCAACTGCCTGCTGTTCTTCAGCTCTTTTCAATTTTGCAATCTTTTCACTTTTTGTTTTGAGGTCAACTGAAGTCGATGAACACTGTTGGTTGTAAAGTTGTAAATCTTTTTTTTTTTTTTTTTTTTTTTTTTTTTTTTTTTGATTTTTTTTTTCTTTTTTTGAAGTTTGAACACTTTTTGTTTAAGTTGTAAACCTTTTTTTTTTTTTTTTTTTTTTTGTAAACCTTAGTTTGAACTTTGTTTGAACTTTGAACTCTTTTCAAATTTTCAATCTTTTCATGTTTTTTTTCCCTCCCCCTTTCAGTGGCTTTCACTGCTATCAGTTCATTTATTTATTTATTTTATTTCAGCAAAATTGTATGTTCTGTGCAGTGAAGTTAGAGGACAGTTTGCTTGTCCAGCTGGGAGGTATACCGCAACGGGGACGTTAAACCTTTTTTTCTTTTTTGCTTTTTTGGGGGGGACGAAAGCTCGTTAAACCATCACCACTGCGTTGAACCTAAATTTTCGTTTTCAAACCGATGTGCAAGCAACCTTGGACTTGTAAATCAATGTGAGATGGCCTGTTTGGCACTGTATGCGTGGGTCATACAACATGTCAAACCGACCCACAATCCCATGTACAGAGGCGCAACATTGTTGTTTATCCAAGAGATATTCTCCCTCAGGGACATCTATTAACTAGTATTTGACCACCAGTACACCAGGGGGTCTTAGGTATGGGGAGGCTCTGATGCAAATGCATATGGGCCCGCGCGGCGCACCGATTCAGCCACCACGTTAATGGTCTAAAAATGTGGAGGTACTGGTGGTTTAAGTCGTGAGTTTGACAAGTAGTATTTTCCGTCCTACTTTTTCACAGACCTTCCGAAGTTTGGAACCATACTCCAGCTTGGAGGCATCGAGAAACAAGAAAAAACTTAGTGCTAGACTATATGACCATGTGCGGCCATTTTTATTCAAGGCGGTTACCCCTCCGCTACTCAGCCCCCACGTATAGCAGCGAGAGCATCACTAGGACCTTATCACATTAGTGGTTTGAACCGCCAGTCTGCAGACAATCAGAAAATGGCACTCCCTACAAGTACATTGTGTCAGAAGGGGGGGGGGTACGGGGGAGGCGGGCGGCTCCGGGGCTTGCGGGGGCATGGCGGTGGTATGCGAAGGGCACCGACTTAAATGATTTTTTTACGTTTAGAATTCAGGGACAAGAGGAGCGAATTCAAAGCCTGGATCGGGATGTGTTTTTGACAAGCGGCACAAAATCGCTATTGATCTGCTTTTCCGCATATCAAGAACCGGAAAACAAGTTTCGGTTCAAACTTCAAAATCTTCACCTCAATTGGCGGGGGCATGGCGATGGCATGCGAAGGGCACCAACGTAAATGATTTTTTTATGTTTAGAATTCAGGGACAAGACGAGCGAATTCAAAGCCTGAATCTGGATGTGTTTTTGACAAGCTGCACAAAATCGCTATTGATCTGCTTTTCCGCATATCAAGAACCGGAAAACGAGTTTCGGTTTAAACTTCAAAATCTTCACCTCAATTTTAGATTGTTTTGGATACAATTTGAGAATTCTTCAGCTAAACTCCCATTTGTTGAAACAATATGATGGCTTCCTAACTGAAATATCATTTTTTTATATAGGTCTAGATGGGATTTCTTTATTCTTTGTGGTGTTGACTACGTTCTTAATACCTGTTAAGCAAAAATACAAACTACAAAAAGAAACAACCTCTAGGTAACTCCTCATCCGCATACGTGTGCTACGTCCCTCAGCTTGAGAAACTTGAGAAACAGTGAAACACCTGATAAAAACAAAAACAAATAAATGCAACAACATCATTGTGAAACAGATCAGAGTGACAATCGTAAAAAAAAAAAAGAACTTGTGGATGCCCCAATAGCACAACATAGCATCAGACAATCTTAGGCATAATTTGGAAAGGGGTCTTGTGGTACACTTTTCCCTTTAAAATGTACACCACAACTCCCCCTGACGTCGAAACTTTTGGGGGACCAATAGCACAATATGGGGAACCGACGGAGAGGCAAAAATGGAAAAAGTTTGTATAATTGCCGCCACTACTTATTTTATGGTTGAAACAATTTTTATTTTTATTTTAGTTTTATTTTTGTAAAAATCATAACAAAATTTACAGACCCTTTAATTTTCTGATTTTATAACGTATTCTAGTCAGCGTGAAAAATAGCTGAAATTGGGTTACTTTTCCATTTGGCCCACATGGCATAAAGTGGCAAAAATGGAAAAGGAGACGAATGGGTCCGGCATTTATCTGACGGTCTAAAAGCTTTTTTTTTTTTTCATGGAAAGATCTAAACCAAATCTACAGATCCTTCAATTTTTAAAGTTTTTTACGCATTCTACCAGGTGCAGGGAGTCCCGAGAATTGGGGTACTTTTTTCGTTTGCCCACAAGTTGTATAGTGGTACAAATAAAAAGAATGCAACGAATTGGGGCAGCATTTGTTTAACGGTCTTTTTTTTTTTTTTTTTTTTTTTTTTTTTGAAAGATTATGACCTAATCCACGAAATTTTATTTTTTTACCTTTTTTTGACAATTTGTATGCGCACCAAAAATTATCGAAGTTTGCGCGTGAAAATTGTGGGTCTGGACCCGCTTGCCCCTCCTTGTCGGTGCTCCCGCCTAAACCCCCTGTCTAACTTGCCTGAATGACAATTTTTGGTTGTCGGCGAGAGTTGTGGTTTAAGAAGTTAAGAGAACTACTAATTATGTCATATCCATTAAGCTGAACGATTCAAATATCGAGAGATGGTTGATGGAAGACCCAAAATTCGGGTTTTTTTGCCGCATCACTACTAGCAATGTCATCGAAATTTTTGCGTACAAACTATGCAGGCTCATAATATAAACATTAAAAAACAAAGAGGCAGAAAACACCGAAAAAAAAAAAAAAAAAAAAAAAAAACAAGAGCATTATGAAACCTTATTGGAAGTAGTTTCAGGAGTTCGCCAAAATATTTCCCGAATTTTGTGTTTTTGCCAACTTTTTCGTTATTGGTCGAAATACGTCGAAACTGAATACAGATATACCCTAAAGCAGAAATGTCATGTTTGTCGCGCTTGAAAGTATAGGAAGTATGCCTAAGATGCTCATCAAGTGCATTATGGGACAGAGAAAAATAATAAAAAAATGTTTTTGCATTGTTTTACCAATGGACATGAATGTCTTTATTGATGGGTGTTTCTATAAACGCTGATGAACAGCAACATAACCATAGGTGTAATACTTAATTCATTATGTTCTTAAACAGTGTTGCTTAGTGTTTCACCCATAGTTCATGATAGGAAAGAGAGAAACCGAATGGTAGAAAAGCGTCGCTATGAAAGACTTGAAAAGGGCTCTGAATAAAAGGTACAAAGACAATTGTTGGTTGACACCTCATTGGTGGGCATGTCCAAGTTTTCGGTTTCAAAAACGCAAAATATTTTGTGTTCACCACTTGATGCGTAGTCATTGAATACACAAGCGACCTCAGTCACACAGCCCAGCTCATTGACCAAACACTGTAATATACAAGATCACAGTGATCATGCTTTACTGCCACGTATGTTTGTAACTTTGTATCTGCCTCTATCTCTTAGTCCACTCTTGCAATTGATGTACAAAAACAAAAACACAGAATGTTTGTTCCTCATCCCCTTTAACTTATTTCATTTGTTGGTTTTGAACAAATAACTTGTGTGCAATATGTTGCACCCCTTTTAACGATGGCTGAACATAATTAACCTTACTTAAATTGATCTACGACGACAATATTTAAATTCACAACCACTAACTTCGACACATACATGCCGTATTTTAAACATAATCAACAACTAATCCAAAACAAGACGCATTTATAAATGAATTTAGTTAAATACTCCCTTCAATATTATCATTTATTGATTTTTCCTTTCTCAATGAAGGTAAGGAAAAAAATGAAATTGAGTCATAATGCCTATACGAAAAATATTAGAATGCAATGACAATTTATATGAAAATTGAAAAAGTCGAATTGTTAATTACGTTTACATGCAACATAAAATAACAGGAAATTCAAACTATATTGTTACCAAGGAACCAGGCTGCGAATGATTCAGACATAGCATTCAAATTTTT